ATAGCAATTATTCATGGCAGTGTTGTGTTTAAAAAGTTTTCTCATGTCAGAACAGAAGTCTGGGTGTCTGATGTTCTTGATAGCTTACCTCACAAAGGCTGGATGAATACATTATATATGCATAGCAAAGTGTGTCGACGAAACATTTAATGAAATGTTGTATGAATTGTTAGTATGCTCTCAATAATTTGAAGTGTTTTACTAACTTTAGAACTGTGATGATGTGCTGACGTAACGCCGACAAAGAGCATGCGCCATGACCTTAGACTCATGACATCATCAATAATGTCTATTTAAATGAACTTCAACACTTTTATACTGTATATTAACAGTTGGTGAGATCAGCGTCACTTAGCGACAGTGTATGTACATGTACTTATGTCATTTACTTATTAGACTGTAAAATAACCTCATATCGAAGGTCTCTGATGTCAGCCATATGTTGTCATCTTTTAACTCAATTTCTCGGTATATGACGTATACTCCCAAAATAATCATGTTTATTTAAATTTTGGACTAAATAATAAATTGGTTTACCGATGTAAAGACTAATTACTAGAGTGCGTGGTTTTGAATAAACCTCGACACGATTTATTAGAAGAACGTACTTCGGTTTTACGTCTATATATCGTTAAACCAATTAATTATTTAGTCAAATCATTATAATTTCATTTTAAAACTGAAGGGGATAAGTTATGTAGCCGAAAATGTGTTTCTAGCTTTCAACAAGAAGACATGTATATATTTTTTAGGAATGACGTAATTATTTTCATTTTGCTCGATCAATGTAGTGTTTAAATTCCTTCGCGCACGTGCTTTGACGTGTCAATTTAGCAGAGACGGAGCGTGGCGATCGGCTTGAGAGTCCATCGAACAATTGCTAGGCAGTCCAGAATAAAGATTTAAATCGACGACTAGCAATAGATGAAGATAAAAGTTGTTTTATGATAGTCCTGCATCATCCTTTTGTGGCAAGTACATATCTTTAGCTTTTGCGAACCCTAGGTCATCATTGCTTTCGACAGGCCTATTTGCACTCACAGATGACGCCAATTAAGGGGCGTAGCTAGCCCTTTTTCGGAGAGAAATCAGTTAGGAGTGGGTCCAGGGCAGGGCCTTCAGTGGCGTAGCAAATTATTTTCGGAGTGTATGCTAACAGACGGTCGAGCGTCCGAGGCGCGTAGTGCCGGAGGAGGGGAGGGAATGGGAGGGGGAGTTACCCCTCAAAGCTGGACATAATATATAGGCCCTAGAAGCAGTCTCCCATGGACTTTTAACTCCTTTAAGACTGACTTATATGAAAAATGTAAATTTTTGTCACTAAATAGTTTTTGATTTACATTAACCTTCGTGATGTGTCAATGTGAAGCATAACAACGCTATTTTATCAGACTAAAATTTGCAAGAAGATTGTTTTTAATTCTTTCCTTTTTTATGATTGATACGGACGGTCCATATTAATAATAAATGAAAACAAAAATATATGATTAGAAACAATCTACTTGAACATTATAATGTACCACTGGCCTTGGTAGGGGGACAAGGGGGTGCAACACGCGGTGTTTTTGTTTTGTTTTGCTTTTCAGTTAAATCGATTCACCTGCGTACCAGCGTATAGGCAGCTACGCACCTGGCCATGTCATAGACGTATATACTACTTTATACATATATACTGTTTGTACACTTGTCGTCAGGAGTACCATATCATTCGCTCTAAATTCGGGATTAATCTGACACATTTTGTATCCAATATCAGAAGACAAGGTTTCAGACGAGGTTTTAGATTTGTGTACAACGTTATAAAAAAATTTTCTCCGGTCTGGCAATTAATAGACTGTAAACGCAAATCAATGAAAAACTAAAAATGACAGTTAGAAAATATATTTAATTACATTTTGATAGACAGCGAAGTCCCAGCAACTGGCTTCGCATGAACAAAGGGAGATAACTCGAGAAATACAAGTGTATTGAAACAAACCAGTCAAGCTGTCATAGGAGAGATCAAAAGAACTGTTGGAAGAGTTAAGTAGTATTTAACATAAAGCAAGTTTGGAAACAACTTAATGTTGACGGTGATGTTGAAAATTTGACATCGATGTGGTCAGACGAGAGAGACAAGCTAGTGAGAGAAAAATGTAGTAGTTATGACTTTAGTCTAAAGAATGTACAGCCAATCATTACAAAATACTTCATAAACAGGGCTCACATTAAGGGGAAATTCTGTGCCGCCAATTGGTTTTGCTATGAAAATTGTGTGCCGCCAAACTGTGATTTTATGTCGCCATTTTTTGTCGCGCTCACGACTTTTAGTATATTTCACAAAGAAATTATTTATCAAGAACTACTAATCCACTATAATTATATTAGTTTTATTCAAAACAATTTTAAACCTCGAACTGTCCGAAAAAAGATGGCGCTTTCAGAGGCGAAAAGGAAACACACTCTTACACAGTGTCTTATGAAAAGGCAGAAAGTCAAGTTGTGATCGGCGTAAAACGAGGATATACATACCTAGCATAGTGAACGTGCCCTAACGGCGTAAAACGAGTTTATGTCCGAGGATATACATATATACATACCTACCATAGTGAACGTGCCCTCGTCGCTAGCGACGTGTCAGTATTATGATCATGGATATTTATGCGTGGAATATTGTACTGTTTAGTGGTCGGATGGCGCAGCACGTCCTTAAATGACCTTAGCTGTAAATAGGACGTTAAACAAAATTTAACCAAACTAAACGGGTGGCGCAGAAAACGGTATCGAACCTGCCTTTCACCAAGGCGACCGGGGTTCGATTCACCGATCGGGCATGAAAAATTCACCTACCCGACCAAGTGAGTTTTCTCTGGGTACTCCGTCTTCCTCTCACATTAAGACCCCCCCCACACACACACACACACACACACGCACAAAGTTTATACATGTATTTCTATATTGGTTATGTTCGTAAATACATCAATAACATTGCCAATCAATTATGGTCCGTTATAACCCGACGTTTTACCAATAAACTCTACCGATTCCTAATGCTCCGGTTCAAAGAGTTACAAACAGAAAAAAACACTTTCTGAGGATCAAAGGTGAACTTTGAAACACGGCCCCGAATGTCCACACATCTCAGGGGAATTTCGTGGCTGATGTGATGCTGACTTTAGAGTGCTACAACGCCGAAGGCACCAAGCACAGTACTCCGCCAAAGAGTTACGCCCACTTATATTGGTTTGGTTTAGTATTGTTTAACGTCCTATCAACATCTATGGTCCCTATGTGCAAGATGCATGCGTGTAGTGTATGCGTGTGTGTTTTGGGAGGATGCGATATTCGTGTTTGTCTCCTTGTTTCCTGATTCCGACTTTATAGTGCTACCTCACTGAAACATACGGCCGAATACACCCAGCAGGATACCCAACCCAGTCACATAATCCTCAGCACCCCTGGAATATGCCGTGACAAAATTGACTTAATTATTGGCTCAGTAATTAGCTGAACGGGATATGCTCGACAAAGTCTTGGACTAAATATTTAGGTAAATGAGCATTGCGTGACAAACTCAGACTGAATAGCTAGCTGAATTTGCTATACACGCCACGCCAAACCTGAGGACTTGTAAGTGGACAAACTTGCAGCCTCGACCAATTCACGACAAACTCGCTTACTTAATAACTAATTGAATGTGAAGTACAAAATCGCGGGCTCAAAAGATTAGCTTGAAGAACAAACGAAGACATATCCGAAACAAAATAGTTGAACTACTAAAATAATGAAATACCAAAATATCACGTAAATAAAAAGTAATTTATTGAGAGAAAAAAAAACACTTTTGAATGTTCATCAAGAAGCTCAGAATGTATCCATGAGCACAAACGTATATGACAAAATATCCACGTTCCATTAGGACTGGCAAAATTATAGACAAAACAGTATCCTGTCTTTTTCACAAGATCAGAATTAACAACAGACACTTTATATTTATATTGTTAATCTGCCAGGCAGGTAAATATAATAACGATTTTACAATTTTCAGTAAAACTCCTACACCATAATGGTATTCGGGCAGAACCACAGAAACAAAAACAAAAATGAAAAAACAATGCATAAGATTTCATAATGTCACTCTCTCATGTAAAGTTTTTAACAACAAGTATCTCCTTCACTGTCGTATTTTCTCATGTGTTAAAAATCAACGGAATATCCGGTATGAAAGAAAGGAAATGTATAGTTCATACTATATATCGCACACAACCAAAGCGACTGCGATGTTTTACTATTTGTATTAATTGTTTGTGTGAATATGATAGTACATATACACGTCACGTAATCAACGCAATCATGTGTACATCTGTACTATGTTTAGTGGAGTTGAAAGACTCGGATATAATTATCCTGGTCTGTACGATTACAACAGGTGACCACAAACGTGTCACCACGAACAGCTATTGCCCAGGGAGATTTCATTCCATCTGATGACGTCAGCAGTTCCCTGAGGTGTGTCCCGTCCCCAGACATCTGTACGACGTTGTGTGATTCCCTACCACACACATAGATGTTACCCTCCCTGTCCACGTCTATTCCCCTAGCATCACTCACGACATCGACCTTCATCACATCCGTGTGACGTTTGTCAGCCGACAGTCTGGACACCGCGACGTCCCCCGTGATGCTGTTGAAGACACTGACGATTGTGTCTCCCTTTACTGGATCTTGTGTAAGGCAATAACAGCTGTTGTTATACTTATGTAAAAACTCAGTCGCTCCGTCGTCTGTCACACTGTATACCTCTCCTCCATATATACTCACGACAAACCTCCCGTCTGTATGTGTTATACCATAACAGTGTTTACCATTAGGCATGTTGATCTCGGACGACAGGGAGAGTTTTAAATCCTTGATTTTCACGACACGGACACCACCAGGATTGTAGACAGCGACCGCCACGGTGTTGTTGTTCACCAGACACAGGTCCCCGGGATATCCACGAATGGTCAACTCGTTAAGGTACTGTCCTTTGTCTGTAAATTACTTCAGCTTCTTGTTGTTGTGATCACTAAGAACTATCTGTTCATTTGGAAGGTGCACAACCCCACGTATCGCACAATTACTTTTATCTGACGGAGTCTTTACGTTAAACTTCCCTGTTTCTTTCACACGACGCTCTAACAACGGTACGGGCAGGTAATCAAGATCACCAGGAAAACATCGGCGTTGTCTCTCGATTACGATCTTCCCCATCGCCTCATCGCCAAGGGTTACCAGTCTGGGAACAACATGATGGTTAATGCTGACGGACGTGAAGGACTTGTTCATCTCCATGACCAGGGCCTTACACGACTCCACTTCTGCCTGTCCTCTCTGATACAACACTATCGCATCAAAAGTGTCGTTTTCCTCTGCGGCGGTAACGGACGACTTCATGGTATTAACCATATTGTTCATCAGACGTTCACACTGTCGAGACGAGGCCTCCAAATTACCCTTCTCCTCTTTAAACAAAGTAATTAACTTATCTGTGACGTCCTTCTGAAGTTTGTTCAGCTGTTCTTCGACACTTTGGCGAAGCTCTTTGATGCTTTGCAGTGCGATTTCCTGTTTTTGGACCATGGTTTTCAGCTGCTCGTCAAAATCCTTTACCAATGACGTCATGGCCTGTACTCCTTTCTTCAGTGCCATCTCCATCTCTTCTAGTTGTGAACCGGCTTTTAACTTCTGTAAATATTCCATCGCCGTTGTCACCTCATCACAACGTCTGTGGTCTTTGATCATGCATATGTTGCATCCAAGACGTTTGTGGTCTTCACAGTACCAAATCAATTTCTCGTCGTGTTTGTCACATTTAGGGACTGACTGTTTCTTTTTAGTTTTCCTGCTATCGTACCTAGTAATATCTAAGATATCACATTCATTATGTAAGACATCATGATGTTGTACCTTACACGTTTCGCAAAAATTCAGGTTCATTATTTTACACCAGAACTTCGCTGGATTGGTCAGGTCACCTTTTGTCTGGCAAGGCTTACAGTACAGTGGTTCAGACGAATGTTCCTTAAGCTTGATAAGGTCCTCGATCACAGCATTAGTCGGGAACTGTTCTGCCCATTTGTCTTTAGCTTCCGCTTGATTGACGGTCTGGGTTATTCTCCTACAGACGGGACAGGGGAATGATGTTGCCGACGCCATTTTTCCAGACAGTTCCTTGGTGATGTAGGTCCTGAGGCATTCCTGACAGAAGCAGTGGAGGCAGGGTAAGGACTTGGGTTGTCGAAGTCGCTCCAGACATATTGGACACTCCAGGAAGTGTAAGTCCAGTTCTGGAGAAGGGCTGCCTTCAGCCATAGTAACAGCTAGGGCAGATTAACACTGGCCTAAAAAGGAAAGAGTAACAAAATAATTTCATGTGTGAAATTCACAAATTCAATAGCTTGCTTATTATACTTAATCCTTTATCAAAGCTTTAATGTCTCGCCTTAAATATTATGCTTTAAAGTTCTATCAATATGGTATAAATGTCAGCTTCACCATCTCATTTGTTTCAAGGATGAAAAAGGTTATTAGTCAGAACGGTATGGTCGTGTTTCATTCTGATAACGAGGAGAGGGTCAGGGGTCACTCTGATAACGATGGGTCGGGTGTCATTTTGATAACGAGGAGGTGGTCGGGTGTCATTCTGATTACGAGAAGGGGTCGAGTGTCATTTTGATAGCGAGGAGGGGTCGGTGTCATTCTGATAACGAAGAGGGGTCGGTGTCATTCTGATAACGAAGAGGGGTCGGTGTCATTCTGATAACGAAGAGGGGTCGGTGTCATTCTAATAACGAGTAAGCGGTCGGTAGTCATTCCGATAGCAAGGAGGGGTCGGGTGTCATTCTAATAACGACGAAGGGTCGGGTATCATTCTGATAACGAGGAGGGGTCGGGTGTCATTCTGATAACGATTAGAGAGCGAGTGTCATTCTGGTTACGAGGTGGAGGTCGGGGTCATTCTGATAACGAGAAGAAGTCGGGTTTGTTCTGATATCGAAGAGGGGGAGAGTGTCATTCTGATAACGACGAGGGAGTCAGGTGTCATTCCGATAATGAGAAGGGGTTTGGGTGCCATTCTGATAGCAAAAAGAGGCTGTTTGTTGGAGGGATCAGGTATCATTCTAAAATCGAGGAAGGGTCGAGTATCATTCTGATAACGAGGAGGGATAGCGTGTCATTCTGATTACGAGGAGGAGGTCGGGTGTCATTCTGATAATGGGGAAGGGTTCAGGTGTTATTTCGATAACGAGGACGGGTCAGGTGTCATTCTGATAACGAGGAGGGGGCATGTGTCATTCTGATTAGGAGGAGGGGTTCGGGTGTACTTTCTGATAACAAGGAAGAGGTCGGGTGCCATATAACGTGTAGGGGTCAGGTGCCATTCTGATAACGAGGAGGGGTCGGGCGTCATTCTGATAACGAGAAGAGGTCGGGTGTCATTCTGATAATTATGAAGGGGTCAGGTGTCATTTCGATAACGAAGAGGGATCATGGGCCATTCTGATAACGAGGAGGGGGCGGGTATCATTCTGATTACGACGAGGGGGTCGGGTATACTTTCTGATAACAAGGAAGAGGTCGGGTGTCAGTCGTATAACGAGTAGGGGTCGGGTGACATTCTGATAACGAGGAGGGGTCGGGCGTCATTCTGATAACGAGAGGATGTCGGGTGTCATTCTGATAATGAGGAATGGTTCAGGTGTCATTTCGATAACGAGGAGGGGGTCGGGTGCCATTCTGATAACAAAGAGGGACGGTGTGTCATTCTGATTAGGAGGAAGATTCGGGTGTTATTCTGATAATGAGGAGGGGTTGGGTGTCATTCTGATAACGAGGAAGACGTCGGGTGTCAGTCATATAACTATTAGTTTCACTGCCAGTAGTGTTTGAATATAAGAGGCTAATATCAATTGTAGTTGTGTGTTATTATGTTTGTCTATTAAGAGTTGTGTGAGAGGTGTATCAGTGGGTGTATAAACCTGTGTATGTGTGGTGTGTAGGTATATTATGTGTGTTTAACGTTGTGAGTTAGGGTTAGACTGATAACACATATTATCTATAATGGTTTATATCACTATAGGTATATCAAAGGGCACTAATGGTTGTATATCTGTTTGTAACTAGTGTTGGTGTTTATGTATAAGAATGTGTTATGTGTAATTAGTGAGTACGTGTGTCGATCAACAATACATATATCGTAAAGTAATGTGGAAGTGTTAATGTGGATGTGTGTTATTGTTACACCTCTTCATATCTTAACCTTCTATCAATCCAGATACAGTTTTTCAAACCTCAGTTAATTTAACAATTCGACTCACAAGTCCTCAAATTATTAATACTCTTAACTTGTCAATCGATAGCACCTGTATATCCTAACCCCTGTGCTATAATACGTATATGTACATGTATTTCATGTTGTACCCGGAATGGGAGGAAACATATATAGGCTATGCCTGTTGCCTTATCCGTTAGTTTTTAAAACTTAAAATATCTTTAATTTTATAGTCCCTGCGTTATAACGAGATTCACTACTCATATATTATATAAACAAATGCTAGGCATAATGAGACGAACACAATCATGCTACCAGATTCGGTAGATTTGGATACACATATGTAATGATATCAGGATAAGGTCATGGGATTGGTCCTATTCTATGGATCTTATTTGCCATACTACTTTCAATCATAATATTTGCCTTGATTGCTAAATACCCATTAGTCCGAATTATTCTGACGTTTTATCGACGTTTTTTATATCGGTTTGTCGTCGATTAAAACGTCAGAATAATTCGGACTAAAGATACCAAATGTACAGGCCCTCTTGGCCTCTTGTTATGTGAGGACTGTATACGTTTTTTGTTTCAGGACTATATTCTATTTCTCCAAAAGGCAGAACAAAACATCATTTTTAGCTCACCTGGTCGGAAGGACCAAGGTGAGCTTATGCCATACCGTGGCGTCCGTCCGTCCGTCCGTCCGTCAACAATTTCTTTTAAACGACTTCTTCTTCTTAACCACTGGTTGGAATTAAACTAAATTTGACTGGAGCATCCCTAGGTGGTGGGGATTCAAAATTGTACAAATGGTGGGGCTGACCCCCCAGGGGGCTGAGGGGCGGGGCCAAAAGGGGTCAATTTGCCCATATTGCTTTAAGCGACTTCTTCTCTGAAACCGAGAAGTGGATATCAACCATATTTGACTGGAAGCATCCCTAGGTGGTGGTGATTAAAAATTGTACAAATGGTGGGGCTGACTCTCCAGGGGGCTTAGGGGCGGGGCCAAAAGGGGGCAATTTGGCTATATTGCTACAAACGACTTCTTCTGTAGAACTGTGCACTGGATATCAATCATATTTGATCAAAAGCATTCCTGGGAGGCAGGGATTTAAAATTGTACAAATGGTGTGGCTGACCCCCCAGGGGGCTGAGGGGCAGGGCCGAAAAAGGTATTTGGCTATACTGCTTTAAGCGACTTCTCCTCTGGAACTAAGAAGTGGATATCAACTATATTTAACTGGAAGCATCCCTAGGTGATGGTGATTAAAAATTGTACAAATGGTGGGGCTGACTCCCCAGGGGGCTAAGGGGCAGGGCCAAAAAGGATATTTGGCTATACTGCTTTAAGTGACTTCTTCTCTTGGACTAAGTGATGGATATCAACCTTATTTGACTTGAAGCATCTCTAGGTGGTGGAGATTCAAAATTGTAAAAAACGGTTGGGCTGACCCCCCAGGGGGCCGAGGGGCGGGGCCAAAAGGGGGGCAATTTGGTTATATTGCTATAAATGACTTCTTCTGCAGAACTATGCCATGGATATTGATCATATTTGGTCGGAAGCATTCATGGGAGGCAGGGATCCAAAATTGTACAAATGGTGGGGCTGACCCCCCGGGCTAAGGGGTGGGGTCAATAAAATGCATTACTTGGAAATGGTTGAGATCCCCACCCCAAAACTATATATACAAATGCTGGGCATAAAGAGACGAATTCAATCATGATATCAGAATAGACCCTGGGGTCTGACCGAACCCCTAGGGACCTTGTTTCTAAGTCACAGCTTGGAAACAGTTGAGAGCCCCACCCTATAACCGTACATATACAATTGCTGAGTATAAAGAGATGATTGCATATATGCTTCCAGGTTGGCCTTGGGGACTGCCCCACCCTTGGAGACTTACCCCCTGGGTCATAACTTTGAAATGGTTAATATCCCCACCCCAAAACTATATATGCAATTGTTGGGCAAAAAGAGACAAATGCAGTCACGATATTAGAATCGATCATGGGGTCTGGCCACAACTCTAGGGACCTAGTTTCTGAGTCAAAGCTTGGAAACAGTTGAGATCCCCACCCCATAACCATACATAAAATTGCTGGGCATGAAAAATCTAATATAGCTATGCTACAAGGATTGGCCTTGGGGTCTGGCATATTCCCTTGATCTCATTTGGAGAATAGTTTGCCATGATTGCTTAGGTATCCAGGTGAGCGATACAGGCCCTCTGGGCCTCTTGTTTTAAGAACAAAGTATGTTGTTTCCTGATTTCGTGGTCATATTTCAATTCATCACCTCGCTTAGCAAGTAACGGATTCGGTTGGTGTTTGTATGTTTCGTTTCGTTACACATTCATTTATATAATGTAAGAATTGCCTACGTGGGGACTTGTGTATAACACCCATCCCTAATACATTCCCGTCTCTCCTCTCCTTCCCATGATTTTATAGTCTATCATTATAACGAGAAAGTTTGAACTTCCAGTCGATCGTCTCTGATAATCTAATGTGTCGATGAATATTATACACATTACCATGTGTGTGATTTATATGACTGTGCTATATTTAAACCAACATAACGTAAACTCATTGATTTAAAGTTGTGTCTTAGTGTTGAAGATTATTTAAAACAGCACAGATCTAGAGGTCGCAATTATCTGCACTGATCGCCAGTAATAAAGGTCTGAATATTTATTGTACCCGGTGGAAAATTAATGGGGCGGATCACGCTTGACAAACACAGCATATTGTATACGGTACTTTACGATATGACCCCACAAACACTATCAGCACAAACAGATAGTCGTGTTTAAACATGTTATACCAACTTTCGGTTTGTGTATATCTAGTACAGCGAAGGTTTGTCGACAGTGTAGTACATATAAATCTGTAATATACAGATATAACCAAACATGTTTTGTGTAATTTACAGATGTGTACGTAACAAAACCACCTTAGTTCCTTACACTCACCTTGTGAACTAACAATATCGACACAGAATGGACCGACTGGACTTCTCTCGACAGGACACTTGTTTACACCTGCGACCCGTTACCAAAACAGGAAGTGTATAGGGTAGATTATAAATATAGAACGAAGGAATGTCCCCGATGGATATGTACAATGTCCGGATTCTAAACGACTGTATGTTATTAAAATATTTCTGGTTTACGTATATCCTTTATATTATTAATTAAATTTTGATAAAGAAGGCGATACATAATCATACAACTCTGTATACTCAAGAACAATATGAAAAGGCAAAGCCTTAAATATTTACTGATTCGTTTTAAATGAGAAAATACTGATTTCAGAATGAGATAAGATAAGCTTTTTGTAAAGTCGGCAAGTCGAGGAATGACAATAAAACACAATCTCTAATGAGAATTTAAGACCTACATAACAATTAGGGGAGATCGGGGCAAGTTCGTTCACTTTTTATTTAAGTCCGTTCTGGGAAATATGGCAGTACGTCCGTTTTTGAAGAATCATTTAACTTTTCCTGTCGAAAGATCGGATGTCGTTATATCGATATATAATCTCAATTTATGTCCCATCCTGAACACCGGGTTTAATTTCAAATTTTGTTACAGTCAACCAGGTTTGACAGGTAAAGATGCCAAATAAAATTAAACAGTGTCTGCCTGTAACTAGTTATAAATCGGCACTCGGTGTTTAACAGTAATACGTTGGTTCAAAATGGCGTTAAACTAGTATTGGTGGTCTGGAAAATCATTGTTGATTTCAACATGATACATTATCAATTGTTTCTTTTATGAGTGGTGATGTATAAAAACATTATGTAAAGACTAAAAAAACTTAAAATATTTTAGTTATTTCGTTCATATTCTCAACAACTGGTTTTCAAAAGCTGATGACATTTTAGACGATGGACAAATACATGCACACACGTACTGACGTTGACCTGGCATTGGTTTAATGTCGGGTCTTTTAGGTCTCCAGGCGGAAATGTTAACAGAACTGGGTTGATGACATAAAGGATATTCAGAAAATATCCGCATTTTTACTTTTTGTGCCTATCAGTTCAAAAGATTTCCGGTTATTTTTCATCCTTCCGGAAATAACCGATGAAGTCTAATGGAGTATGACGTGTCTATGACGTCATAGTATAATAATCTCTAAACGAAGATTCATGCACGTTTTTTAGTTTAAATCAATTTTATTGCAACAAAAGACAAATGGATTGGACAAAAGTTATTGCAACTTACTTACGTCCCTTCCGTAACAGAAAATATATATACAAAATTAATGAGTCACGTAATAACCTAATACAAATTCATATATGTATATATATATATATATATAAGATGTTAAAGATGGATAACAGCAAAAGAGGTAATGATAGGATTAGGGACACCAACGTATAGTTTTTAAATATGTATTCGGAGAGTTTACTTGAGATCGCGTGTGTGATTTTCCCAATCAAGTCGGCGTAAGTAGTATAACTAATCTATACATACATGTCCTTCTGCTTTTCTAAAGTTCAATCACATTCCGTGCCGCATTTGCCTTTATCCTGTGTCACTCCAAGTCCTTCTGTGAATTCATGCACGTTAGTATCATGCCGGCTGGAATATTATTTAAGAGTCCATAAGTCGTAAAAAATAAATTTTGTGATTTTTATGGTTTCAAATTCTAGAAACTTTTCTGGTCAAAATGATATAAACATTATGTCAGTCCGTCAATATTAGACGTTTTGACGCCACATTAAAGGGTATGCTATATGACTTCTGATGTTGCTCACCACGTCATTTTTTCCGACATTACTGTTAAGATTGATACAAACGTAACCGGTGGTTAACATAGTGTTACTGTATGTATAGTAATTCAAACTGCTTATTTCTGGCATTACTCCAGAGGTTTAAGCATGATTTAAAGAGAAATTTTAGAGCATTTTAAGTCATACACAAATATTGAAATGTAAAACAAATAGGGTTCCATATGAGCATGGGACAAATAATACTTTTGTACTTTTAAACTTTATAGACTCACAATTATACAGTTTCCTTTCGGTTATATCTAAAATTACGTCGCCACTTGCAACAAAGAAAAAAATCTAGAAAATAAAAAGTCCTGGCTGTTTGAATATGCATGGCCTTCTGTGTTACGGATTAATCACCATTTTTATTTATCTTAAGCGAATATTTATGATAATTATGAAACATGTTATTTCAGCATATATTGATCACATGTGTTGGCCTGGATATTAGCGAGCACAGTGCCTTACTGTGACAGGAAACCGAGTACCCAGAGAAAACCCACGTGGTCGGGCAGGTGACCCCATACCTTTTCATGTCCGATCGGGGAATCGAACCCCGGCTGCCTTGGTGAAAGGCCAGTGCGCTATCCACTTCATCACCCGACCACCCAGTACAGTACAGAAATTACCTGTGTAAGAAGTATTTGACTATTCTATTTAAGTTGGAAATGGTGGTATGCTTAGCCTCAAATGTTTAAGGTCGATGAGGTCATTTGCTCCGACAGTACCATTATTCATTTATGGAAAAACTTCAAAATCTTGCTGTTTCAATTTAGTGATTTTTTTTCTCAAAAAATTGTTAAAATTCAATTTCAGAAAATAAAACAGGCATTTTTGTTCAGGCACAGAATATGATATTCCTATTTTTAATACTATTTTTATTTTCTATTTTTGTAGATAATAAATAACAAGTTCTGTTTTGTTTATTTCCCATCATTTTATTAGCTTTCTGCATCCAGTAAACACTTTGACATCATGAAAAACCTAGACAACTTGTACAGCCACAGAAAGACAGTCCTTAGGCCAGTACAAATGGACTGAATAGAATAGTCACTGAAATACACTATTAACATAAGAAGTAGATTTCAAACACAGTATGTCATCATTCCTTTGTTTGGATAGATCACCAATATGAGATTAATTACATCTAGAAGTAGGCAGGGAAAGTACTTGCAAGTATTTTTGTAGAAGTAGCAGGCATATGTTGCCAACTTGGTGACAATCCGTTAGCCTCCAACCCGACTGGAAGACATTCAGGAATGACTGTCCCTCTCATTACTAGTCTCACATCAGTATCCTCCCCGTCAAGTACAGGCTTCACCTTCAGCACCCCTGAAATGAAATTTAATTACATGTAGTGTATATATATCAACAGAATGTATATGTATTAAATAGTAGCTGATATATACCTGGTACCTACAAGGTTTGGTGATCATCTATGCCACACAATATACAAAAATGTACAGCTTTATTGTTAAGTAAAAAGGTTTTAGAAAAATAATGCATTCTCTACACATTCATTGGACGTAAAAAAAACATCATTTAACAATCAAAAGTGTCCAAAAGGGATTAACAAATTTATTACATATCTTTTGTCAGGATCGGAGTTTGGGAAGCAATCCGAATGGTACATCTAACCAGATTAAGGATATTAAAGTCCAAAATATTTTTAAAGCAGAGACATATATTTTGAGCAACTAAATATTGTATTTATGAGGAATATATCTCCCTGCTTTAAAGAAAGATACAATGTATGGATCATTGGCAAAGCTTGCTAGGTCTTCTGTTTGCAAAAGTGGTTTTGAAATATATATATATATATATATATTGAATTTCTCTGTCAGGGATGTGTAATACTGTACATATCAACAGCTTCAACACTTGGGCTAGTAGATTTAATATCAATTTGGGCTAGGGAAAATGTTCAATATTTACAATGAAAACATAGGTTGGCATAGTAGAATGTTTTAAAATTAACTTGCAGACAAGTTTGTGAAAATGAAATTGTACATTTCAAAACATTAAAAATGGGTGGATACATGTTTTTCATTTGGACAAATATAGAATAGGGATACCTTAAGTTAAGCGAATAATTTTGTTTTAAATAATGGCACAGTGCATATTTTCAGAATTTCACAAATCAAATATTTCAAATTGAAATAATTCCAATATTTGAATAATTATTATCAATCGCAAAAATTGACAATGACCTAGTTTATTGACTGGAGCGTAATTGGATTATAATATTATAACATTTATAACTCCATTGTATTACATGTAGTCCTACTTACTGACACACTCAGGAGAATTTCAGGTGGGTGGATATATAGGTGTCTCTGCCAGGAAAGTTTATAGGAGAAAAAGTCATCTCTTTCACTTGTAACATATAAGGATGTGGTCATCCCACAGTCACTTCATCGGCATACCTGATACAATAAGGAAAACAAGTTCAACTCTTAACACATAATGAGAATATACTGAGTCACACAAGAAGGTAAATTTAATTAAAATTTTATATGATATTTTTTTTCATTTTTTTCTGATATGAGTGGTTAAGCCAGCAACTTAAGCAATATTATGAATGCATTAAGTTCATAGGTTTAACTATAATAAAACAGTACGGAATATACTGTTTTATTATTATTATTGCACGAGAATAAATTTAAATAAAATATGTTTGTTTTTGTTAATGGTTATGCTCATTACACAATTTCTATTCATGGTTTGATTTTTAAAGCATTTGGTAATTTAATCTCATTATACAATAAAAATAATACCATTTGTTTGTAATGTTTACATACCTTGAAATCTTTGCTGTACATGCTCGTATTTTACAACATCTTTCTTCCGAGTGTTCACATAGAACTGCATCATACCACAGGCCCCTGTGACCATGCTTCAGGAAATGTGTCATAACATTCTTAAGATATGCACGTTGATATTATTGAAGTGCAGAAAACATGAATTGCCGATTGACTTAGATCTATTTGTATTTTGAAACTGGAAGTGTACACGTGTTTAAGTTAGTATGCACCCCTTGTCCCACACGCCTGAACCTGGCCAACATTTAGCACAATTATAAGCCAAAGAAACGGGAAAGAAGTGACTGAACTAATCATCTATTTCTGCAGTTATCACACTATTCAATCCATATACTTTAAATTACTACATACTACATGCCACAAGTTTTAACGCAGCCACCGTATCTGTCATCTTCCGTAGCAAATGTAAATAATCTACCGGAAGCAAGTGTACGCACCAGAAATCGGGGAAAT